GGGGAAAGGGTAACAATAAATCAACCAATCAAACAAAACTAATGTGTTGAACTAGGGGAGAGTAAAGTTGGCTATGAATGGACGTATGTTTGTGTGGCCTTTTACAAATGTACCTTCCAAAATGGATAGAAGGGGTGAAAGAAACATGCATAATAGAGAAAAAAAGGTTCAGTAAGAATGGATGACTCACAAAGAGTGGAATTCACAGTAAGATATGTTCAATCAGAGAATTAAGCAGTAAATATGACATGGAAAACAAGTAGACAAAGGTGTTGTTCTAAGAAATTATCAGAGGAAGAAAGTGTTTAGAGGAGGTGGATTAGAGTCCTGGTGCTAATTTTGTTAACTCTCTCTTCAATGTGCACCCAGAACCATCACTCTGTATGCTCTGTCCCCTTAAACCTAGTCAATGGTGCTTTCTGTCTTCCTGACTGGTCTGCTCGCTTCTACTTTTGCCATGCTAAATCATTTCCTCACAGGGCAGTCAGCTTCCTGTGTCTCTCTCCTGCCAAAATATAAGTTCCCTGAGAGCAGGGGACTTAGTTCACCCTCCGCTGTATCCCTGCCATTTGGAACATGATTGGCATGGAGCAAGAGCTCAATTAGTACTGGTTAAATTAATTAATTAATTCCTATAAACAAAAGAAGTCCTTGATAGAAGGGAATGTGGGTAACTAAGAATGTGAGAGAAAAGCAGACTAAGATAAAATATTTACTATGAGATAAGAATGAAATTTAAGGTACAGGTAATAGGGATTAAACTCTTAAAAAGCCAAACAAAAAAGAAAACATTTATGTCTAAGAGTGTATCTGGTCAATTTAGGCATCTGAGTCATGTAGGCTAAATATCCTTAGGTCATTTCCAAACAGATGGAGTCTCTAAAGAGATTTTTTTTTTAATGCTCCAAAGATGTCTGTACCTAAACCAACAACGCAGGATCTAATTTCCCCTGGATTACTCACCTGGGTAACACTGGCTTGCGAATTCTTCCTCTAATATCCATGGTGCTTCTTCTGGTTTGGTAATGCAATGCCCTGATACTAGAAAGAGACACAGGATGTAGAAGAAGCTGCCTGGCTTCAGGAACTCGGAAGAAAAACTGAGGTCCAGCTTCAGGAGATGCACAATGAAGAGGCCCACTGGACTCTTTCAAAGGGAAGGTGAAAACACAAACAATATTCCTGGTGTCCAAACCTAAATATCATTAAACTCTACAAAAGACCCATCTGCTTTGGTAACAAAGAAAGGACATGCCTGATGGTGTTACTTGAAGAGCTCTACTTACCCAGTGAGATGAGGATGCTGTAGTTCTCCAGCATCACATCCCTGCACAAGGTCCTCTGATCAGGGTCCAGCTGACCCCATTCCTCCCGGGTAAAGTTCACAGTCACATCCTCAAATGAAACTGATCCCTGTAATAGCACATATTTGATCAATCTGAAGTATTCAAAACTGTATGACAGAGAAAAGACATTTAGGAACTAATTCTTCATCATGTTCACTGTTGAGTGAACTTAGAAAAAGTGTATGTAAGATGCTTACCATAATACCTGTTTTGTGTTATATATGGTGGGAGAAATAGAAACATAGTGAAAATACCCAGTTAATTTATTAATTCATGCATAACGTTGTCAGAGAGGAAGAAATTGTCCTCTACTCTTCTAGGTTCTTCCGGCTGGTCTAAGAATTAAATTGATATGAGAGTTTTACCTCTCCCTTTCTAATTTGGATACCACAGAGATTAAAAAAATCATAAGAGAATACTATGAAACCGTTACATGACAACAAATTGGATAATCTAGAAGATATGGACCAATTTCTAGAAACATATAGTCTGCCAAGACTGAGTCAAGAAGAGACAGAAAATTTGAATAGAGCAATCACTAGAAGTGAAACTGAATCTGTAATTTAAAAACTCCCAGCAAACAAAGTCCAGGACCAATGGCTTCACAGGGGAATTCTACCAAACACCTATCTCAAACTATTCCAAAAAACTGAAGAGGAGGAGACACTCCCAAATTCATTCTGAGGCCACCATTACCTTGATGCCAAAACTAGACAAAGACACTACAAAGAAAGAAAATTACAGGCCAATATCTTTGATGACTACGGATGCAAAAATCCTCAACAAAGTATTAGCAAAATGAATCCAACAATATATAAAAAGGATCATACAACAAGACCAAGTTGGATTTATTCCAGAGTCATAAGAGTGGTTCAACATATGACAGACCACGTTAACAAAAGGAAGGATATTCTCTAGGTCAAGATATATCTGTGAGGCTGCTGGAGTTTTGCATATACATTTACTTGTGTTATTTTTTAGATTCCACATATTAGTGATATCATACAGTATTTGTCTTTCTCTATGTGACTTATTTCACTAAGCATAACATTCTCTAGGTCCATCCACATTGCTGCAAGTGGCAGAATTTCATTCTTTTTTATGGCTGAGTAACATATATTTTCTTAACCCAGGCATCTGTTCATGGGTTTGTGCATTGCTTCCGTGTCTTGGCTATTGTAAATTATGCTGCTATAAACACTGGGACGCATATACCTTTTTGAATTAGTGTTTTCATTTTTTTCAGGGCACATACCCAGGTGTGGAATTGGATCATATGGTAGTTCTGTGAGGAATCTCCATACTGTTTTGCAAAGTGGCTGCACCAATTTATATTCCCACAAAGGGGATGTTGAGGGTAGTGATTTTGGACTTCGAAGGGGAGGAAGGCAATTTACATGGAGATGGAAAAGTAATGTTTGATGAACAAATGTTTGTTGGGTCATGCAGAGATGATGGGACACAGAGGTTCTAGGCTACGCAGTTTCTCCCACCACACCTAACCTGCAGGTATCTCTGGCTATAGCACTATTCCAGGAACAGGCTCCATATCTAAATTCTTTAGGTAAAAAGAGACTTCGTGAGTCTTCTGTTTCTTAAAATTAATCAGCCTAAATTAATCCTCATGCCAAAGAAACAAATTTTGGGGTGACAGATTTTGCTTTCCTACACACAAGCATAAAATACATTATATGTGTGAAAGATTCCTAGTTTCTGTGGATATTAAAATACACAAAACACTGTTTTTATCCTCAGGAAGCTTAGAATCTGGTATGGATGCAAACTAGATTATCAAATAGCATAAAATCAGGAGAGAATTGGGGCTTTAATGATATAAAATGCTCTGGTCTGTTCAGGGAATAGATGATGTGTAATCTTGAGATTATTCCTTTACACAAGAATTCTCCTAAGTATCTGATGACCCACTTTGTCAGGAAGAACTTTTAAGCATCTAAAACTTTGTGGTAATAGATAGGTAGGTACGAATGTCTATACAGGTAGCCCACCTTTGGATGGCTCTGATATGCATGGATTTCAGTTACCATAACTTAGTTACATAACACCAGCCTGACAACATGGGTTAGATTTTTAGTTACTATGGTAACTGTGAGTAATTGAATTAAATACAAACTTCACTGCTTTTTTTTCAGCCCACAGATCAATACAAAATAACAGAAGTTTATATAATGAACAATGATCAGCCGTGTCATTTATTTTCAGTCCGCCAGTGACTAGCTGCTGTGCATCCATCACTCAGTTCACACACAGACAGCAAAGCAAGTAGTTGTGTTGCCTCCTTGTCTCTTAGCAACAAGGCATTTGTAAAAATGGCCAACAAAGATGAAAGAGCAGCAAAGCTGTGAAAAGTGATTACAGTAGGAGTCAAATCAAACTGAATATAAATGATGCTTTAGAAGAAACAGCTGACTGTGGGAATGCTGACACTGCTGCCATTTAGGACATTTGAGATCTGCAGCCAGGCAAACTTAGTGACCAGAAACTAGGTACCAAATATTAGTTGTACTATTTTTTAACTTCCATATACTTTTATAACTGATGGCTTCCAGCATACTAATTTGCCCTACAAATTTTAGACTTGCCAGCCTCCACAATCACATGAGCCAATTCCTTAAGATGAATGAATATGTGCATGTATGAATATATATGGGTGTGTACATACATATTATATGTATATTGTAAACACACACCCTCCCACACACACATACTATTGGTTCTGTTTCTCTGGAAAACCCTGACTGATAGAGGGTTTAAGGAATATTTATTTTTCTTCATCTTAATATTCTCTCCATTCTACCTCCTCCCTCTCTCCCATCAGCCACCAGAAGCAGGGTGTAATGGGGAATGGAGTCTCCTCTACAACCTTAGGCAGGAGTGCAGCCCTGACAACACCTTTATTTCAGACTTCTGGCCTCCAGAACTGCAAGAGAAGACATTTCTTTGTTTGAGGCCATCAAATTTGTAGTAACTTGTTACAGCAGCCACGGGAAACTAATACACCAAATCTTTGCAAAAACCCTATAGAAAATCAAGTTTGCTTGGCTTATTGAGAATCCATCTGACCAGTAATAGCTCTCACTTACTTAAATAGGCACAAAATTCAGCTTTTGAGTTTCAAATTTTGAGTGATTGTTTTTGATATAGTTAAAAATTCACATGGTATGAAATCAGTCAAGAACAATAGTAAGGTAAGAATTCAAAGAGACCAAGGATGAACACACGGGGTAAGCGTTGCTAAAAGGCAACAGGACAAAGGAAATGTCACGAAGCAGACAGAGGAAATCAACTTACATAACTGAGTTATGCTTTGGCTCCCTGCCTTCTGTGCCCACTAGAGAACAATCAGAAAAGAAAAACATAGGTAGCATTCATTTCAGGCTTATTAAATAAGGCTCTCAACCACTTCACTTTCATTAAGGTAAAGAAATTCTTTTCAGACTTCAGGCCAAGAGGTCTTTATGTTCCAAAGAATTACTTTTGTTGATTCTTATACTCAAAGCAAAGCATTTTCCTTTTGTACAAACTATCAGAGATAAATCTGCACATTATTATTATTACAAAAATGATAGTTATATCATTTAATGTGTAATATACATACTAACATAAAATGATTATGATTCTCTCCATATAACTAAATGTTGACTTTTCCTTGTTTTAGATCTGTTAACTCTATATATTCCTTGATAATTTTTATTTTAATCTTTAATTGTTTTCTGCAATGGAAGACAATATGAGAAGTGAATAAATAAACAACTCTCCTGGGATCTGTTCTTTTTCTGTTCCTTTTGGGAAAGTACAGAGAAGGCTGAACATACAGCTGTGGGAAAAGAAAACAAGTGGGTCAGGTAAGATCTGGCTGCTATGAATCTTTGAGATTCAGCTTCCTAAAACCCTGTGCCTACCAGCTGGTGAAATGTCCCTCTGTGGGAAAAAATTTCTTTGGCCCCTGATGAATAAGCCAGATCCATGTGGAAGGAGAATTCACATGATCAATTTAACACTGGGTTTACTTCCTTATGATTTATTAATGTCATTTTTCTTTTAGAACCAACTCAGGACTAATTTAACAAATAATATTGTATCAGAAGACAAATTATTATTTTTCATGATCAATGTTGCAGGAAAAATACTCAAGATATCTGTTTGCTTATATTCCTACTGAGTTACATACCCTTCGAGTCAGAGAAATCACTCTGAAGAAAGGGATAAGAGTTCCTTTAGGAAAAGGTCTATTTAAACATTTGTTTCAACTAAAATGTAATAGAACCTGGTGGGCAACTTACCTGTTACAACATAAACAGACTTTCTCTACACCTAGTTCTACCACTAACAAACTGGGTAATTCTGGGCAGGTTACTTGTACACTCACAGTCAAGGTTTCTCAGCTTTGAAGTAAAGCAGACACAGATGACCCTATTCTATGACTCTATGAAGGCAGGTGGATGGAGTGGGAGCATATGGCTAGAGGGCAAATATGACGGACATCACATGAGAGCAGCTCAGAATTTGGAGAAAGAGAGGCATTTGAGGCATGGTATGTTTATTAAAAGCTGTGCCTAGTGATCTCTCCCTGCAGACTATGCCCACACAAACCCTCCAAAAAATTATTATTTCTTTGCCCACCATCTCAGGGCCCTACTCACCTGTTTTCTGAAACTTGGTGCAGACATTTCACCATCACGGTGAGGCCTTCTGGATGTGGTGATATTCGTGAGCTGGTTAACGACCACTACTTCAGGCTATGTAAACCCAGAATCTGCTCCTTTCTGACAATTTCCTGCCTCTGCTCTGAAGCTATGATGAGAGTTTCAGGTCAGAAAAATGATCTTCAAGGCAGGTTCCTGTTCCTGAGGGCCCCTTCTTATTTCACAGGAGCTGCTTTCTGCCAAAAGAGCTGGAACCTAGGCTTAAAGGACAAAACCATTTTATTTAGAAGCTTCATCCCAGGGCTCCAAATCTCATAGAACTCACTTGTCTAAACTCTAAGGCCACCGAGGATGCTGAAGGTTGGACAGTGCAGCAGTCCAAGCAAGACATTATGCAGTCTGACCCAAGGGTTCTGAGATGCCAAGAAATCCCAGAATACATGACCACAAAGTGAGATTCAGCCCACACACTGCCTGTGCCCCGAGGGAGGTGATGTGGGGAACACAATGCTGGTTTTAGGCTCGATGTCTATACTATGGCTGTGTGACTTTGTGTATCGCACTTGAAGCCTCTGAGGCTGTTTCCTTTTTTGTCAAAATAGAAAACAGTTACATAAAGGCTATTGTGAACATTAAATAAAATTTAGCTAACGAAAAGAACAAAGCATCTTCCAAACACCTTATCAGCTAATATTAACTACTAAGTTCTGTGCTATATGCAACAACTTTATGTATGTAGTTTTAAAACGTATGTAAAACAATCCTCAAAACCCCGTGTGGCACATATTAATATTCTCCTTTGACAGATGAGGAAACCTAGTCATCCTGCTGGTGGTAATTAATTTACACCTGATTCTGCCTGGATACAAAGTTCACGATCCCCTTGCCGCAGTTGCGTGGACTTTGCAGCCTCCCGGGGGTCAGCACCCCGGGGTCCCCAAGGCCAAGGCCTGCCCCTTCCCCTGACAGACCCACCCCGACACCTGCCGTCCCTCCCCGGGGCAGAGGCCGCCCAGACCCTCCCTGGCTGCTCACTGACCAGGGATCCCACTGCAAGTCTCCTCCCCAATGCTGCCTCCCACCCGTCCACCGAGCGACCGAGGACACTCCTCGGCCAGGGCTGGACTCTGGGGCACACCCGCCACGTTCACTGGGGCAGCTCCCCATCCCTCACCGCGTGCAGACCTGGCGGTTCCAGGATTTTTCTCCGCAGGAAGCAGAAGACGGAGAAAGACACCTGGGAGACCGAAGTGCACATGCGCAGAACAAGCGGGAAGATGGGCTTCCTGAATCCTGCGCTGTGTGAGCCAAGACAACGCAGGACTATAGTTCCCATAAGACCTGGGCGCTGCAACCTCAGGGAGGGTTTGAAGAATTAACACTGAAGGCGGAGGGGGGGGGGAGGCTCTCTCCCTCCTGACTTGGTTGGTCCTGGAACTCTCTGAGACTGATTCTTTCAGGATTGCCAGACACTGCAATTACTGTTTATTGTAGTGCTATGCAGGGTTTGTGATTGAATCTGTTGAAAAGAATAAGATGTAAAGGAGATTTTAGAGACCATTTTGGAAAGGTGAACTACACAGTTGTAAGGTGGTTAAGTTTGTTCTTTGTGTTGAGTACAATAGTGCCACCTGCCTTCAAGTTCATGTCCCTCTGCAACATCATAAGGTGACTATGTTTGAAGATTCTTGGTAGATGTAATTAGGTTAAAATGAGGTCATACTGGATTAGGGTTGGCCCTAATCCAAAGACTAGTGTCCTTGTAAGAAGAGAAGACAGAGGAGACAGACACAGAAGAATGCCATGTGAATATGGAGACAGAGATTGGAGTACTGTGTCTATAAGCCAAGGGATGTGGAAGATTGCCAGAAACTGTAACCGAGCAGGACCCTATTGTCATCAGTGACCATCTGATATCTGTAATGCTGTTTGTAACTACTTAACTGTATAATAGTTTAAAAGGTTTTTCTCATGCTCTTGCTGACCAGGGTTAGGCTGGAAAGGAGGGAGGCTTGGGTGGTCCACCCAACCCCTCTGTGGTGCTGGTGCTGCATGCAGGGATTATGCTCAGTGCCCTGCTCTTGACCTCAGTGCCCTCCTCTTGACCCCTTATGGTTTCCTTGTATCCTGTTGTTCAAGCTGCAGGAGAGTCCAGGCCTCAGCCTGCTTAAAAAAGCTAAAAGCATTTATCAACCTGACTTTAAACTGCCCAAGTTTTTCTCTAGAGCTCTTTCCCACACAACCCCTTCTTATGCATCCTTCCTTCTAAGTAGAAGAATATTAAAAGAGTCCCAAAACCAGAGGTGAACTTCATACTTAGCAGAGGGAATGGGAGCACTGCCTCTGCCAAAAAAAAAAAAAAAAAAACTTTGTAAAAATTTGTTACCCTTTATGCAGTCTCTATGGAAACTAGTTCTACCCCTTGAACTTACAAACTTTTACTATAAAGCCCCCTGCCTTCTCTCTCCAGCAGGCCAACAGTCTTAGAGGCATTAGCCCACTGTGATCTCCTTTGCCTGGCAAAGAAATAAACCTGCCTCTTCTACTTCATCCAAAACTCTGTCCTCGAGTCTCAATTCAGTAAGCATGGTATGGAGACTAGGTAATGAATACAGATATTCATTCTTACTATTCTTACTACTTCAACAAAAGCAAAAACAAAAACTGGTTTCTACTACAGCCAGTGCATGAATAGCCATGTATTTTAGAAGTAGTTTCTCCCATGGGAATTATACATTTGACTGGATGTAGTCTTAAAATAAATCTACAACCATTGTAGAATATTTATTCTTTTTTAATTGAAGTGCAGTCAATTACAATGTGTCAATTTCTGGTATACAGCACAATGTCCCAGTCATGCATATACAGACATATATTCATTTTCATATTCTTTTTCATTAACGGTTATTACAAGATTTTGAACATAGTTCCCTGTGCTATACAGAAGAAACTTAAAAAATATATTTTTATATATAGTGGCTAACATTCCCAAGTTTATCCTTCCCACCCCCTTTTCCAGTACCTATAAGATTGTTTACCTTGTCTGCAAGTCTGGTTCTGTGTTGTAGGTGAGTTTATAGTGTCCTTTTTTAATTCTTTTTTTTAAGACTCCAAATATGAGTGATATCATATGGTATTTTTTCTCTTTCTGGCTTACTTCACTTAAAATAACGATCTCTAGGTCTATCCATGATGCTTCATATGGCATTATTTTATTCTTTTTTATGGCTGAGTATTATTCCATATTTATACAAATATACCATAACTTCTTTATCCAGTCATCTGTTGATAGACATTTAGGTTGCTTCCATCTTGGCTATTGTATATAGTGCTGCTATGAACATTGGGGTGCATGTGTCTTTACACATTAGAGTTCCCTCCAGATATATATCAGGAAGTGGGATTGCTGAATCATATGGTAGGTCTATTTTTAGATTTTGAGGAATCTCCATCCTATTTTCTATAATGGCTGCACCAAACTACATTCCCACCAGAAGTGTAGGAGGGTTCCCTACATATTGTTAACATTAATTACCATTTTGTTGTTATGTGTGAACAATGAAGCTGGGCTCTCACAGCAAATTTTAAGTATACAATGTTCTTGACTGGATAGTCCCCATGCTCTACCTTAGACCCATGTAACTTACTCATCTTATGTACCCTTTGACCAGCATCTCCCCACCACCCCCACCAAACTTTCAGCTCCAGCAACCACCATTCTACACTCTGTTCCTGAGTTAGTTATTTTTAGATTCCACATATAGATGAGAACATACAGTATTTGTCCTTCACTGACTTACTTCACTTAGCCTAATGCCCTCAAGGTCTATCAGTGTTCTCATACAGCACGATTTTCTTTTTTACGGCTGAATAAGACTTCATTGTGTGTGTGTGTGTGTGTGTGTGTGTGTGTGTGTGTGTATTTTTTCCCTCTATCTATTCATCTGTCAGTGGATATCTAGGTTGTTTTTATATCTTGGCTATTGTGAATAAAGCTGCAATGAACATGGGGGTGTCGGTATCTCTTTGGGATAGTGATTTCATTTTCTTTGGATACATACTGAGGGCGATTTCTGGATCATATGGTAATTCTATCTTTAACTTTCTGATGAATCTCTGTATTGTTTCCCATAGTAGCCTTACCACTGTACATTCCCACCAGCAGTGCACCAGAGGACCATTTTCTCTACTTCCTCACCAACATTTGTTAACTGTCTTTTTGATAAGCATCTTTCTAACAGGTGTGAGGTGATATGCCACGGTGGTTTTGATTTTCTCTGATGCCTAGTGATGTTGAGCACCTTTTTATGTACTTGTTGGCCATTTGTATGTCTTTTTTTGGAGAAATGTCCATGCAGTTCCTCTGCCCATTTTAAAATAAATTGTTTGGGTTTTTTTTCCATTGTGTTTTATCAGTTCCTAATGTATTTTGGTTATCAACCCTTTACCAGATATATGGCTTGCAGATATTTTCTCCCATTCCATATGTTGCTGTTTCATTCTGTTTCCTCTGTTGTGCAGAAGGTTTTTGGCATGATGCAGTCCTACTTGTTAATTTTTGCTTTTGTTGCTTGTGCTTTAGGTGTCATTATCCAAAAAAACTTTGCTAGTGTCAAGGAGCTCTTTCTCTAAGTATTCTTCTGGGAGTATCACAGTTTCAAGAGTTAATGTTTAAGATTCTTATCCATTTTAATTTTTGTGAGTGGTGTAAGATAGGGGTCCAATTTCACTCTTTTGCATAAAGATACACAGTCCAATTTCATTCTTTTGAATAAAGTATACTTTAATTCTCTTCTCTTTATCTGGGGTGTATCTACTGAGGTTTTGGCTTTGTGGTTACCATGAAGCTTACTTAAAACATCTTACTGATATAACAGTTTATTTTATGCTCAAAACAACTTAACTTCAATCCAAAAGCTATACTTTTAAAAATCACCCATTTTATGATGCTGATGTCAATTTACACTTTTTGTATTATATATCCATTTAATTATTGCAGCCATAGCTATTTTAATGCTTTTGTCCTTTAAGCTTTATATGAGAGTTAAGTGGTTAACACATCACCATATTATAGTGTTAGGGTATCCTAAGTCTGACTTGGAATACTTACATTTACCAGAATGTTGTATATTTTCATGTTACTAATTAGCACCCTTTTGTTTCTGCTTGAATAACTCATTCCAGCATTCCTTGTAAGGCAGGTCTAGTGGAGATTAACTCCCTCAGTTTTTGTTCGGGAAATATCTTGCCTTTGTTTATGAAGGACATCTTTGCTGGGTAAAGTATTTTTGATTGGCAGGTTTTTTTTTCTTTCAGCACTTTGAATATATTATCCTACTCACTTCCGGCCTACAAGGATTCTGTTGAAAATCTAGCTTTGTGATGGTTTCTTTGTAAGAGAGAAAATTTTTTCTATTTTTGAAATTATCTCTTTGATTTTTGACAATTTTATTATAATATGCCTTGGGAAAGATTATTTTGGATTGAAATTATGGGGTGACCTATTAGCTTCATGGACCTGGATGTCCAAATCTCTCTCTGAGTTTGGGAAGTTCCCAGCCATTATTTCTTTTAACTTTCTGGCCCTTTCTCCTTCTTCTCCTGGGACTCCAGTGATGCATATATTGTTTCACTTCATGGTGTCCCAGTAGTCTAGTCCTATAGTCTTCCTTCATTCCTTTTCATTCATTTTTTCTTTTTGCTCCTCTAACTGAATAACTTACAAGTGATCATTTTTTGGGCTCACTTATTCTTCCTTCTTTATGGTCTAGTCTGCCTGTGAAGCTATTGAATTCTTCAGTCATTGTGCTGTTCAGCTAAAATTTTGTTTTTTGTTTTCTCTTTGTTGAACTTCTCATTTTTTTCTGTACTATTTTCCTGATTTCATTAAATTCTTAATCTATGTTTTCTTGTAGCTCTCTGAGCATTTGTTTTAGTCACAATATTGTTCATTTTTATTTTTTAATTGAAGTATAGTCAGTTTACAATATATCAATTTCTGGTGTACAATATAATGTTTCAGACATACATATATATACATATATTTTCATATTCTTTTTCATCATAGGTTATTACAAGATATTGAATATAGTTCCCTGTGCTATATAGAAGAAACTTCTTGTTTATCTATTTTTATATAGTAGTCAATATTTGCAAATCCTGAACTCCCAATTTATCCCTTCCCACTCCCTTTCCCTCTAGTAACCGTAAGTTTGCTTACTATCTGTGTCTTTTTCTGTTTT